ACTTGAATGCATCACCAAATAATCTCGTCCATCGATCATAATGACATAAGATCAAAGCAGTCTTCACTACATCTAACGTAGCTAAACTCATCAATGGTTACGTATATCATTATAACCGAACGATATGGATCAAACATGGATGTACAACATGGAAATTACATGCTATGTGATCTAATCATGTATATTTTTAATAGGTCTTGCCTTAATTTTAGTGAGATCAAATGTAAGAAAACTCAGAGATAATATATATAAACAAAAACACAAAACTGGAATTAAACTATGCATACATAAACCAAAACTAAAACCAAAATATAAAATTTATGACATGTCTTATAAAATAAATGAAACTATGGTACAAGACTCCCACTAAACCTATACATTATCTAAAGAAACAACATCCATATGAGCAGTGTGCTCATGAAAGACTTTATGTGGTAATCTCTTAGTGAGCAGATCTGCAATCATGAAGAAATTAGTGTAGACGATGTATGTATATAAAGCCTGAATATGTTTGAGGCAGAATACCACCTCCACCAGAAACAAAGATATAAAGTTTTTTCCGTCTCCAAAAATTGGTTAAACCCATAAAAAAAAAGAAAGAAAACCTAGTAATATACTGAAGGAATTAGTGTAGAAGATGTATATGTACATAGCCTGAATATGTTTGAGGCAGAACACCACCTCCACCGGAAGCGAAGTTAACCCCATAAGAGAAGAATTGCTGGTTACCAGGCTGTAGATATGGTGGAATCACTGGCAACCAAGCGTATTCGGCTGCAGAATATCATTCACTAATTAACATTTACTAGTTCAAACAATGTAGATACATATATGTGTGTAGGAGAAAAAGTTGAGGTTTTTACAGATAAAATCTGGGATGAGACGGCCATTGGAGAATCTGCCAGTGAGGGAGTTGAAAGTGGTTTGACCATATGGCCAGTAATTTGCCTTGAAATAAGTCAAAGTGTTGATGTAATTATTAGTTCCAGCATCAAAGAATGAGTCGCCGAAGACGTACAAGGCCGCCTGGTTCGTTTGAAGTTGCAGACTTATGCTGCTCATCACTAATCTTGAGACAAGAACCCACAAGAACAGATGAGATTTTTTCATTTTTAAGCACTCTGTTTCTTATCTCTTTGAATGAATTAATTATAACGAGAAACAGACAGAGAACGAGAACGGGGAACCATGGTTTTGATACCCTAATCTGCACAACACTGTTCATTTCTCTTTTTTTTTTTTTGGATTAAAAAATATAAAGAAATTGAAAGTTTAGAATAAATAAAAATATTAGAAATTAAATTGTAATAAAAAAAATTAAAAATCAAATTGTAATAAGTGTTAAACTTTAAAATTATATTTTCTTTTAATTTTTTTTTAAATTTTTTTATTAGAAAAAATTTTAGATTAGCTTTAAGTAATACTTTATTGGAAATGGAAAAAAGAAAAATGAGAGAATAATAGAAAGACTTGATTTTTCAGTTGTAATTGTTGTAAAAAAATCTTTAAATACATGAATATATATAGGCACTAGCACAATTCTTGAAATTCTAATTATATAAATCATAATCAATTTCAACTCACGAATTATAACTTAAAAATTTATAAATTATTCTTTTTAACTCCTTATAAGAAAAAAAATCTCTTTTATTTACAAATATTATTTTTAATTTCTTAATAAGATCAAGAATCTCCTTAATTTATAAATTATTATTTTCAACATTTTTTTTTCTATAATCTAAGACTAGAACCTCTTAATTATTTTCTTATAAATGTGAGACAATCCAATCTCATCACCAGTATTGTTAGAATAAAAAAAATATTTTTTAAATTAATAGATCTGTAAATCTTCGTACTGAATTAATGAGAATGAATAAACGGAAGCGTACATGGACCCGTC